GGTGTCAATCGAGCATATTAGCACCAATCTTATGATTGCAGATCCATTAACGAAAGGATTGCCACCAAAGACATTTAATGAACATATCGAAAGGATGGGCATTATTGAAAATTATCATTGACATTATTATGTAATTGATGATGCTTATGTATTGACACTTGGAGCTCAATTATGTATTGTTTTTGACAAATGTTATTCCTGTCATAATTGTTGGTACATGTACATGAGTGAATTATCTGAATGCTGACAGGAATAGCCCTTTAAAGATATTATTAGAAACTTCTCATTACGTATCATGTTGAGTAAGGACTTATATTGTAGTACATGGAAGGAATTATGCCAAAATGATGGTGTAAAATCACCATGACTCTTATTCGTCATTACTTAACGATGATATATTAAGTGACCAATGTATGAAGGATTTTAGCTTATCGTATGCGCATTATGTTATAGACCACATAATGATGTAATATTACTCGGGCCAAGTGGGAGAATGTTAGACCAATTAATGTGGCCCCACGTAATATTATAAATAAATTAATATTTGGTCTATATATATTAAAAATCTGATTGGTCATTGAGATGTGAGAGTTTTGTAACTGCTCATTTTGTTGGAAAGTGGGTAGTTTTGGCCTAAAAGAAAACTGTCTCTCTCTGCCTTTTTAACGTGAATGAAAAACCATCAATAAGAACATTCAAGAACAGTAAGGAAAAGAGAGAGAACAGTTTTCTTTATTCTCACTGATTTCTTTTTTGCAGATTTAATAAATTCCAATTTTCTTCATGGATCAAGGTATGTTACTTGATCAAATTACTCATACGTGAAAATCATAGAATTCCAAGATCTTTGCATTAAAGTATGAATTAATTGCTTACAAAATGTCGAGAACGACATTTTTAAATGTAGAGAAATGCCATATTCTAAATGAAATGTCATTCTAGACAAATGAAACGGTGTTCAAATGTCGAGAATGACATATAAAATGTCGAGAAACATTATTTTAATATAACTTCTCATGAAAGTCACTTCTCAAAATTCGTGACAAATTGATAAAAAATCAAATGTCGAGAATATCATTTTAAAATATAGCCTTTCATTGAAGGCATAATAGATAAGTTGACACTAAATTCAAATGAGTGAACACTTTTCAACTCATACCCTTAAAATTGAATATTCTTAAAAACGCCCAATGAAACTATTGAATAGGTAAAATTGTACTAGTTAGAATCATGTCTATTCTTGGGGTCAATGTACCTTCAATAAATTAATGGGTAAATAACACAAAACGTCTTTATCTTTCAATTTCATTGTACAAAACATCCTTATCTTTTATTTTTTAATATTTTCTCCCATATGTTCACCTTTTATTGAGCAAAAAGTCATTTTCATCTTCTTTTTTTTTTTTTTTAACAAAAAGATGATTTTGCCCTTCCATTTAAATAAAACGAAAAGAAAAGAAAATGATTGATTTTAACAATAGTCCCAAAATTTCAAAAAATTACGAATTAATCACAAATATATAATTAAAAAAAAATCATTCCTCTCTTCCTGCACACACATTGTTTAATTTCATTAAATTTTTTCTGTAATTAGTAACAGACACAAACCCATTTTGTAGAATTAAACATCCATATGTCCTTTTGGTGTAATTTCACTTCAGGATAATTCCTGGGTCAGAATTTAGTGTTCATTTCTTGAAATTCCACTTGGGTATCTTGAATTTTGAAGTTATTTTTCGAAAGAGATCTTGAAGGAGGATTATGAAACGGGATAAAATGGCGAAAAGATCCTCTTTTGGAAACATTGTGAGGAGTCTTTCAAATATTACTAATTCTTTGCTAAATCTCAAATCTCATGCGACTGTGAAGAAGTTGCCCTCAGATTCTGCTTCTGGCAAAGATTTCATTGACCAACTTGGTAAGGTAATTTGTTCTGCATTTTCTTTATACATCATATCTATTAGCTTTTAATATAACTTTTTCTTTGATAATTATTTTTTGTGATTTATGGTTTTTTGAAACAGGAAAACGTTGGATTATTGAAACTTGTTCGAGACAAAAAGTACTTTTTTTTAATTTCTTACTGTCAGTGTGTTACCTTGAATTGTATATTTGGTATGCAGGGCGTCTGAAGAAGTTAGACAGTATGAACAGAATAATATATAAAATATTAGCCTATGGTTTGTTCAATGAGAATTGAATTTTTTTTTTTTTTTTGATCTTTAGAAAAAAATGGGTCCTATATGTAAGTGCAAAAGTAAAAAATGATGGTTGAAATAGTGGAATATCTGTTAAAAAATTAATTTTTTGGGGTGAAAAATTACTACCCAACGGGCTTTTAATCCTGCGGTATCCAATCCATGCTGCCCACAAGTTTCTCAGATTTTTTTTTTTTTTTTCAACAGTAAAATCATAGAGCTATTAAAGATTCAAAATTTGAGAGAGATGTTCAGAAGATGTAGTTGCAGAACTGGAATCTCGTACAATCAAATAGTTATATGTCTCGGTAAGTGCTTTTCGTTCGCAACCCTGGGCCAAAAACTGGGGGCTTATTGGGGTGCGGGATGGGGGGGGGGGGGTTGGCCGCGTAGCATTTTTGTTTCATTTTTGCCCAACTGGCAACTACACAGATGTAAAATATTTTGTAGGATAATTTGACTGGTTTTTTTATGTATCATATTTCTTGTTATCTATGCAGGAACTTAATTTGAGTAAAGAAAGTATAAGCTTGACACTCAGAATTCGAGAATTGCATCTTATTTGTAGAGTGGACCTGGCTTTAAGCATGCGGTTTCCTTTGTTTTTAACTTACTATTTATTTACCATTGGTGAAGTCACTGTGTGTCTCGACCAGGGCTAGAGGGATTTTTTGCCATTAGTGAGTGATTGTGTGAAGGAAGAAGATGAATGATTTTTGTTTTTTTAGTTTTGATTTTTAATTACATATTTGTGATTAATTTGTAATTTTTTGAAATTTTGGGACTATTGTTACAATTAATTTTTTCATTTTTTTTTTATTTGTATAGAAAGGTTAAATCGTCTTTTTATTGAAAAAATAAATTAAAAGAACATTTTGTAAGATAATGACGTCTTGTATAATAAAATTGAAAGATATGAATGTGTTGTGCTATTTATCCGTTAATTGATTATACATTTTGTCCTTAAGTTTATTGTACTGTTTGACATCTTTAAAAATTCTAAATTGTTTGTTACAGTATTATTTTTTACCATATATTTCACAAAATATAATAGTCTACACACAAATTAATAAGTTTTTTTTTTTTTTTTTTTACTTTTTAACTACACAATTTCTTAAAAATACTATTCAAAATTCTTCGACTTTTCAAATAATGAGCAACAAACATTGACAGATTATTTCACCAGTCCACATCAGCATATAATTATTGATGAACAGTCCATTTTCAATTATTAAAGTTAGTGTTGACATCTCACAAACTTTAGGGCCAGTAGGTAAACTGGCACATTCTTATCTTTCAATCATTTTATTTATAAAATAACTTTGCAAAGTAGAAGAGAAGAAAATATGGTTTCATCCATGGAATTTTCTTCCGATCTCAATGAGAACCAAAAGACACGACTGTCAAACAAAATTTAGACGAGAAATTTCTTAAGAAGGACCTAATTACTAGAGGAGGAAATGAAAAGGCAACATTATTATTATTTTTTTTTTTATAGGAAGATTAATTCTTTTTTAGTCTATTGTTTATGACAAATCACCCCACTAGCTTATGAAAGCAATCCCAAAATTAGAAGAGTGGGCTTTGATATTACTTATAAGAAAAAGAATCCTAATATATGTTGTCTTATGTGCATTATGAAAGCCAAAATTGACATAAAGACATAATTTCCGCCATAAATTGATGATAAATGTCTAAATCTTGTCGATCCTATTTGATTTAGTTTTTCCCTCTACTACCCCAGATTTTACTGGAAAGCATATAAATCTGTGTTATTTTGATGTGCACATATTATCAAGCAAATAGGGAATTTTTTTTTTTCACAAGTCCATGTTTGGCTAATGTTTAATTTTATTTTTTAATAAACCGATCAAATCACTTTTTATTCATGGATTTTAAAGAGGGTCACAAGTATTATTCACTTATTCATCACTTTTTATTCATGGATTTTAAATGTGTACAAAAACTTCCAAAAATGCAGATTAATCATGTAGTAATTTCTTCTTGTACTCTTTTATGGCTAAGTTTCTTGTAATCAAGGAAAGAAAGAAACACATTTGCCTTTCACCTTCAGCCGAAAATGAACTTGGGCAGAGGAATTAAATTCGAAAAATGAAAACTTGGACATTATGAAATTTGAATTAAGAAAATTACTTATTTTGACAAATAAGTAACTTTTCATTGAAGGCGTTAGTTACTTTTTTTAGCTTGCTAAATGATGTTTTTGTGCACTTCTCCTCCATAGGCGACAGTGCTAAGCCGCTCCAGTCAAATGTATGAAGGAGAGAAATAGCTCATAAATGTGAAAATTACTTAGAAAAAACGAGAGTGTTCAAGGAAAATGAGGGACCAACCCTCTAATATATATTTCTAATTACCTTGTTAGATTGGCAAAATGGTTGCTATGTAAGAACGCCTTATAACAAAAATAGCTTTTTAAAAGGTAACATTCATTGTAACATATAATAAGTGTATGTTGCCGTTTATTACTGTAGTTGAGATTGGACAATGGTATTTTAATCATAATTGTTATCACACCTAAAATGCAAGGATATTATAAGAATTACTGTTTCTAGACTCCGTAGTTGTTTTCACACCTATGAAAGCATATTCAGAGAGTCGAGATCGAAGACACTAATATTTTATCGATAAAAAGCTAGTGATCTGCACATCCTTCATGGATTGAGGATGGGCCTCAACATCCTTCGTTAGTAATAGGTTAAGCACTTTATTCCCTAGTCAGTACATGTTAGTGATTTGAAAATAATGCATTAACAATTTTCTTTATGGCACGCTATGTTTTGCATTAGCTTTGCACTAGTTTTAGTTCAAATTTAATATATTATATATGGAACAGACTCTATTTTTCTCACTTGGAATCTCCTTCCTCGAAGTATCCCTCTTTTGTAAATTTCAACTTTAAAGGAAAATCTTAACTAATTAAACCAACTTATTGATCAAATATTGTCTTCTCTTAGAGACTGTGAAGAAAAACTATATGCTAATTATTTTTTTCTAGATTGTTTTATTGGTTTTCTTAGTTACAAATTTATGTTGACTTTCCTTGACTTTAATTTTACGACAGATTAATTTTTTAAAAGATTGTTTGTGTACTAAATTTGGCTGGAAAAATATTAGTCATGAAATAATTGAAATATTCCCTCTATCCCATTTATATAGGCATACTTCCCTTATTATCTTGTCCCATTTATACACTCTTCTGTCTTTATCGAGAAACCTTTTTTTTTTTTTTTTCAGCTTAGTAGCATAGCTTTATTTAATTTGCCTAGTTATAATCAATTCCTCTCACTTAAGCTTGAAATTGTATAGATTTTAATTTATCTTCTTGAAATTATCCAAATACATGCCCACATTTCCTACTACTTTTTTGAAACATGAACAAAAAAATATTTCCCACTTTATTTACTACTAGTTGTAAATAAGGGTAGACTAGGAAACTTTTTTGCAAAAATTGCTTTTTCAATAATATTAAAATAAAACTTCTTATTCTGTGTGGGAAAAAAATAGCCTATACAAATGGGACGGAGGGAGTACAAATAAACAAAAATAGTGTATTAAACCAGAAAATAAATGCTTAATAGCTTATAAAGGAAAAAAAAAATCTCTAATAATTAGTTGAAATCCTTAGGTTTAAAATCGATCATTTAGATAACTTAAATGCTTCAAACCTAGCATTTGAGATCCACAACACAAATGCAACTTGTGCCCATTGATTTCTAGCAGTGCCCTTGCAGGAATTACTTTTAAAATCTAAATTATGCCCTGAACACATGATGTGTCCGGCCGGCCTATGATTTAAAATCCTCATTGTAATAATAATAATAATAATAATAATAATAATAATAATAATAATAATCCAAAAAGAATTAATTTAGATATACATTCGTAGATGACATTGTTGTTAACATTGTGTGAGTTGTCAAAATCTATGATATAGTATTGATTGTCTAAAGTGTCATTAAAATCAATATATAATATATTGCCAACTCACAATAATGTAATACATGATGTCAACACGCAGCAAGATTGATCCAAAAAGGCAAAGGATTCAAAACTAAAACTTATCCGCCCCGAATAACTTCCGCATTTCTTTAGCTGTCCACTTTGCATTTAGTCCGACAACATGAAACTTCATATGGCATATTCTAAGTTTAAATAGGCGAAGACAGGCGTAAGGATGTTAACGTTACATTGTACCACAAGTAATAACAAATCAAGAAAGAAGGAAATAACTTTTGCTAGCTATGATCAGTTGTATGGTAGTTTAATTCATTCGCAATTATTTCTTCTTGATCATGAATTCATGGTATATATTTACGAAATGCCAAGAAAGAAAGATGAACAATTTAACAGAAATGAAATGCAGCATTATATCTCTTATGTTGTTTATCACATCTAAAGAATTCAATGAGAAAATAGAGAATTTAGTAATAGTATATACTTGGTAATTGTGAAGAAATTTGGCTGGCGTGCTTAATGGAACTACTGACAAGACGAAATTGCATTTATCAGAATGTTAGAGCCCTCGCCCATTTCTCAGGTGAATGCGCTCATCTTCTTTAAAAGGAATAGTTTCCCTTGACAAGACACGAAAAAGTAAAATTCTAGCAATTTTGAAGAAAGAAAGAAGGAAGGTGGTCTGGGTTTTCAAGAAATTTACCCATTTTGCATTGTTTACAAGCTTTTCTTCGCATTTAAGGTGAGATAGTTTTGGTGCCAGGTCGGTTACATGATTTTCAAGTTTTAAAGTTAATTATATGATTTTATGCTGGTAGTCTTGAGAATTAGAAATCATAATTCTATTCCACCGAGAGCAATCAATTAATAGAAAGAAATAGGGAACAATACATAACTCACACCTTAACTATACCCTAATTCAATTTTAAGAGAAAAGGTTTAAAAGTTCAAAACTCATGTGGTAATTAATAAATATTATATATAAAATACATTCTAACAAATATATATCCTAAAATAATGCTTTCAATTACCATACTCTACAAAACAACAAATCATAAAAAATTTGGAAGACCAAGCAAGAGAGACCTTTCCACAGTAATTTACCACCGCCGAAATCTGATTGTTCGAAAATTATCAGACTACTGCAATCACAAATTGAAAGCTATCAGAAGAAAGAACAAAGATAGAATTTATAGAGTACTCGTCGGAGCAAATAACTTCGAAACCTGATTAATTGAAATATGTCGGATAATTTAAGTTAAAAGTTGGAAGTTGTCGGCACTATGTACTAAAAGATCGAACAAGAAAAAGATTTACAGAGAACTCATCGAAGCAAATAACTTCAATTCTCACCGTCAAAATCTGGTTAATTGAAATTCGTCGGACATTTGGGTTCACAAATTAGAAGTTGTTGGCACTGTGTATCAGAATTTTTGAAGGCAACGATCGAGAAATCAATGGCATGTGACCAGTTCTCTTGAATTTGTGACATATGACCTGTAAATTGTGATATTGATCCAATGGCCCGTCACCAATTCTCTTGGATCTTTGGTCACCTATAACCTATAACATATAAGTTGTAACCTATTATCAGTGCATGAAAATATACGACTCTGATATGTGACCAATAAATTTTGATTCGTGGTCTATTGGCATTGATCTGTGACCTATATAATATGATCTGTGAAGTGCAATATGTGACCTATGAACATAAATTAGTGATATGTGACCAGATGGACATGTGGCATTTGATCCGTGACCAATTAATTTTGATATGTGACCTGTTGACATTAATCTATAGCCTATATAATATGATTTGTGAAATGTGACCTGTGAACTAAACATGTGACTTGTAAACATAAATGGGTGATTTGTGATCAATTCTATTTGATCTGTGACATGTGGACATTGGGTTGTCCACATGTGAACAAATATGTGACCTTTAAACTGTGAACAAATAGTGAGTCATGATTACAAATTTAATCACAATCTCACACACATATTATTTATTGATCGTAAATTATCTATTTTTATTGATTTTATATTATTTCTACATCGCAAATTAATCCAATTTTTTGGCTACATATCATCTTTATACAACCTCAACCCAACCAAAAACTAACACCATAACCATCATTGGCACCGCCACCACTAGAACCCCCACCGTCACTTACAGCACCACTGTCACTGCCAACACCCACAGTGCATCATACCCGCAAAAACCACCAACAGCAAACATGACATCCAAACAAGAGAAATAACTAACACACAAAATAGGAAACATTTGCCACCACTTTCATCAATCACCACAACTGTCATCCATCATTGCTACTGCTAAGAAGTAAGATCCCAATACTGAAAACCACGTAGCTCGGATTACTAGTATAAAGCTCCTAGAGGATGGAGGTTCTAACCGTCTCAATGATGCCTTCTCGATTGCCATTGATCACAACAACTTTGCAGTCGCCACCGACGACGAGAAGTTGTTTGCTAATTAACCGTAATTTATCCTGGTGAACGACTCTGTCTCCAGGAAAACAACATAAACAGAAATTCCCCTTCACTGCAACGCAGTACGCAACCAAGTGTCCCTCTATGAGCCTCTGAGTGACGTCGAAATGGGATGGGTGGGTAGAGAAAGAAAAAGAGGAAAGAGATAATAGAGAATAAAGAGCGACGTCGCTTTGGAAAGTTCACTTTGTTTCAAGCGCAGCTAATATGATAAAAATGAGCCAAAATATATACATGGTCAGACAACAGAGTCCAAGAACATATTTTGGTTGGTGGTCGATGGCTAGATTTGGGAGTGAAGAGAGAGAAGAGAGAAAAACGAGGGATTGATAGTGTTGGTGTTGGCGGGTGGGTAAAAAGTTGAATTACTACCCAATTTTTGAATAAGTAAACATTAAACTTTATTTTTTAAATATAATCTTTAAATACCTCTCTCCCTGTAATTTTCACAAAGAAATAAAGACATGCCAAATGTAACGCCCCGTACTCTAGTAATACGGAGGATTACAAACATGAGTCCTTTAGGGTTCACTCTTCCATGCAAAATTTCTGCTTTACTTATCTCTTTAAACAAACAGCAAGCTTAAATAGTGTTCTCCATTTAAGCTGCGGGTTTACAACATAAAAAAATAAAAAAATAAAAAAATAAAAAAAAAATTTGATCAAGCAAACCTTGACGAAACTGTACAAAATTTTACCGGATGATAATAAACCCATATATGTATAACATATAAAAATTTGGGATCTCGACTATATTGTTTGAAGTACCAATATTTTTAGAGTAGGCTGGTCTGAAATCCCGGATCCAACAGTCACAGCTTACGAAAAAATGCTACAAAAATTTGTACGGGACTCCGATTGACAAAATTTCAGTTGCATATGATAAATAACTGATAGGGCATTATTTTCCATCTTGAGATATGCAAAAATTCTTTTTTTTACAAATCACAGTAAAATTTCAAAGCAGTGGCAGAAGTTGGAATTTATTGAAAGACCTTGTTTCCCAGCTTCAACGAAAGATAAACCTAAACTGAAATTTATTAGACTCGACAAGGATTATTTTCCATAAAAAAAATGAAAATCTAAAACGTGATAAATAAATCTCTCCATAATAATTATGCCATCAATGACGAGCCACTGCAAAATCTTCGATCAATATGAAAATGTTAAATAGGAATGAGCATCTCAAGAATAATCAGTAGGCTACACAATTTATATAGATTGCCTTGGTCAATAATTGAACCAATGATCAAACATTTTACTTACGGATCTGGTGAGCTTCCGCGACCATCAGTTGAACATATAACATTAAGATTCTAATGAGTCTCTACGACCATCAGTTAAGCATATAACTTTTATACAATTTACAGTCAAGGGGAAAACCATTAAGGAGCTTTACATTCGTTCATAAGCAAGTATGAAGAATAACATATATGAATGAAAATTAAATCCATATAAGAATCAATTAGTGTAGGAATCCTACCTTAATTATTGGTGATGACGTAGTCGTTGAATCGAATTTCATTTCAAAACATTTCTAATAATTAAAGGTGAAATTGGAATCTTTGTTCCCTGCTATGTTTCGCTGGATATTTTTGAAATTTGGAATCCGTGTGCCTTTGAAGGTTGGGCGAAAGTTAAATTCAAGGTAGTAGAATTTGGATAGGAATAGGTTTCTCATTATAGGATTAGGATAGGCTTAACTAATTCAAATCTTTAAATAAATTTGACGTAAATCCAAATTGAAATTTAATTTAAATTGCATGATTAAAAAAAGAATAAATAACTTCCAGATAACTTTCATACTAAACCAAAATATTGAAACACCCCATTCCATTTCACACGTCACATTGCTGCCAAAATTAATTGATTAAACCTCTAATTAAGTGAATTGAGCCTGTGAATTCTTTGAACATAAATATCATGGGCCTACCTAATCTGAAATAACTTTTTCTCGAGTACATAATTCGCCATTAATATGAGCTTCGAAACAAGCCCAATATTGATATGAAAATTTTTGCTAGATGAATACTTGATTATTTGACCGAAAGACCTTTTTTTTTTTTTTTTTTGGGTGCAAGATTTATTTCTAACTTAGTCCATTGGTATCTCAAATTATAAAACATGACAAGATGAAATAGATTAAAATTTAATTTCAGTCGCTACACAAAATTTATAAATGCTCATCTCAATGTGAAACTATGTTATCTTCTTACGTTATAGTAATTTACTATGATGGAAAAAGTTTACAAGAGAAAATTGCACATCTATGATCTTCTCTAACCTCTCTTTCTCTCTTTTATGATGATGATATAAAAGAGTAATAAATGCTTCTACTTTATAAGACAAATTTAAAAAAAAAAAAAAAAATTACGAGGACTCAAATTTCTAAGACTAAATTTATAAGAACTCAAATTCCTAAACTGTCATTACTGAAATTTTGGTTGATCCTCCATGAGCCAACAATAATTAGACTCTACAACTTAACATATATTTGACCCCGGGTTTAAGAATGAATATTATGTAGTTTCCGAGAATGAATACAACGCACTTTTGTTTTTATAATTTACATTGAAGCTAGAAATTCTTGGCAACATATCTCATTGAGCTTAATTCCTTTATTCTCATTCCCTCTAATACTCCAGGATATTGATGGCTGCTAAACAAAGGGTATAGAATTTGACATGTTAAGATTTTTGGTGAATATTACGAATGTAACTCTGCTTCTACCATGTTGCGACGTTCTGTTAGGACTTGTGATTCTATCTTAAAAAATCAACATTATTAAGAAGAGTATCCCAATTCTTTATAAGTTGGTATTCATCTTTATTCGATGTGGAATTTTTATCCACAAATGCCCCGCAAAATCTGGCTCTTTTGAGCAAACAAATCTTAAAATTCATGAACTCATTTTTTAGTTTTAATAAGATCGAATTGTTCGTTGAAGTTTAATGGACTCTGATACTATGTTAAGATTTGAGATTCAATTTTAAAATGTCAACATTATAATAAAGAGTAGCTCAATCCTTTATAAGTTAATCTATATTTTCATTTTTATTCGATGTCAAAATTTTTTTTTTTTTTTTTTAATTTTTACGAAATTTAAAAAAAAAAAAAAAAAAAAAAAAAAAAAAAAAAAAAACGTTACTATTCACGGGTACTGTTCACCCCCCGAAATTTTTTTTTTAAATTTATCGTTTTCTGCAGTTCCCAAAAAAAAAACAAAAAAAAAGTGAAAAAAAAAGAAAAAAAAGAGAAGAAACATCTTTTCTATTATTTACAGGTACATCTTTTATTCTGGTTGATCTGGCTTGACTACTTCGACGAACGAAAGGGAAGTTCTTGTTTTTATTTATTGTTGGTTTATATTACTGTTTCATTTTGAAATTACATCAATTAAATTTTTGTGCTACTGCTGATCTATTTTTATCTAAACTTACGTAATTGGATCCATTGACCTCGTTAAATCTCACTTTAACCTGCTTATTTTACGTGATTAGGTTTTGGCTAGTATTTGATCATTGCTTTATTATTTTACATATACTAGCAGTACTAGCTTGTTGTATATAATTTTAGTCTCAATTTAAATTTAAAAAAAAAAAGCTCAAATTTTTATTTTCCATTACTTGCACTTTTTGTTCGTTGATCTCTCTATTGTATGTCATTAAGTTGCTATTACAGTGCATGTAGTTACATATTGGTCATCTTGTCACTTCTAGCTCTAGTACCTTAAACATGAACCCCTCACAATTCGATGCACTCACCCGACAAATAGCGGCTATTCAAACTCAAATGACCGCTACTCTTGAAGAGAGTAAGGCCCTATCTGTTAGTTTGAAAAATTTTAAACACATCCCTCATTCGATTGATGTTGATAATTCTAAGGTGTCCCCATAATAGACAACATCGTCGACAAGGTAATGAAAAATACTTTCGACCCGATCGTAAGGATAGGGATAGAAATAGGATCAGATTAGTGAGCGAGAACGAGATAATTTTGAAATTTTTACTCAATGGAATGCCCTTAAACAAGGAAATCAATTAGTGACTGAGTATATCGCGCAATTTAAGGAATTTCGAACCAAATGTCATTTAATTGAGGATGAGAGCACGACTTTGAGTAGGTTTAGCCAAGGCCTGAGAAATGATCTTAAGCGCAAGCTTTTCCTTCGAGGTGTCACTACTCTTGATCACACTTACTCTTTAGCTCGAGATTATAAGTTGATTATTAGTACTCCATATGACAAGCATGGTCATCGTCGCTCATCCATCTCATTAGCGTCGCCTCATCATAAGTCTATCATAAAACCGTCTCCATCTAATGTTCCTCCTATTTGGAAAAATAATTGTAAAGGTCGTGATAGTCCAAGATCTTCTTTTCCATGTAGAAAGCATATTGACGATCATCCTTCGGTGTCATTGGCTCCAATTCCTCCCGTTAAGTCCTTTCCAGGACCTCCCCCGTCTGATGTTCCTCCAATTTTGAAAAATAAGGGTAAAATTTTTTATAATCATCATTTGGCTTTATTGGCTCCACCTCCTCCCATTAAGTCCCTTTTAAGACTTCCCCCTTCTAATGGTTCTCTAATCTTGAAAAATCAGGGTAGAATTTCTGAAACTCCAAGGTCTTCTTCTCACTTGTTGTGCGTCAACTGTAAAGACTTTGGTCACATATCTTCTAAATGTCCTAATCGAACCTTAGTCATGGAAGAACGAAAGAATGTAATAGAGGAGCCATTAGAAGATCTAGTCTATGAACCTAAACTTGAAGATTTTGATGACTAGTGAGGACATTTCCTTAGGTGGAATCCAGACTCTTCTCGAGACTTTGGATACTATACCCCTTATCTCCGACAATTCTCGATCACATGTTATATGTCATACCATTACCCAAGTTAAAGAGCTTGATGATGTCACCAGTCACCCTTGAAAAATCCAGTCGCCTATGGTTAACACTAAGGCAAACTTATCCACCACCGACCAACCTCAAATTGATGGTCAAAACAAAAGTGCTAACCAAAATCCTAACAATTTATTACAGTCTCTAGTCCAGAAAAATCTTGGGAATTGGGACTTGATCCCTCCAACTGTTCAAATTGCATATAACGATCCTGTGAACTGGTCTTTAGGTCTAAAACCCTTTGAAATTATTCTTGGTTGTGAACCTTTGAAACCTCTAGACCTTATTCTCATGCACCCACATACTTGTGTGTCTATGTCAATTGAGATAGTTGTATCACATTTTCATAGCTTGCATATTGAGATCAATAAACAATTTGAAGCAAGTAAAGCATTATATAAATCTCAAGTTGATTGGCATAAACAATACTTTGAATTTAATATTGAAAATTATGTTATATTGCAAGCGTGTAATACTGATCTTTTTAAAATTTCAAAGCATGTTGGTCAAAATGCCTATGTCAATGACCTTTTATCAAATTATGACCACCACCCTATTTTATTTGTTACGGACTTCGATGCTTACAACGGCTATTTTAGCCCCTCTGATGACCCGTTTCTACTCCCACATGAGAATTCTCACACTGAATCTTTTGCCATGTCTGTTTCAATCCCACCTATCACAGCACACAAAAATAAAATTGATGTTATTTTGGAGAACAGCTTGTGTTGACCAATAATAGAGAGATTCAGTGCTTTCTTGTTCGTTGGATGGATCGACTTGATTCTGACGGTACATGAATTCCCAAATAGAGACTTCAGCGGCATGAGCCAAATTTATTGGAGCTTTATAAGAGTCAGCAAAATTCTCATTCGCCTAAGTTATCTTGGTCAGCTCATGTTTTTGCGGGTAATTTGCAATTGGCATCGTCATCATTTGTGGAATTTCGATATTTGGTTGGTCAGAAAGATCGTCCCCCATGGCATGACTTGGAGCCTTTGGCATCAGATTCATTACAACATTTTGATTTATCCACTCGACGGGGTCGAGTTTTTCTCCCACCCCGGGAGAGTTGATGCGGACATCCATTTACTATTTATTTTCTTCCATTTACTATTTATTTTCTATTTGAACTATTATTTATATTTCTGTTATTGGGCTTGTTTAGCAGGTTTGGCCCAAACCCTTCTCTTTAGGGTTTTTGTTTTGTTATTTATTTCTGTTTTGTTGCGTATTTGAGGCAGTTGATGAATTTGATTAAATTATAAAGTTGGCTTGCAGCCGTTTTCCTCTCCTTTCCCGCCTCTGTTCTTCTTCTTCTCTCCCCTTCCCCCATCTCTTCTTGTTATAGTTATTGAATTATTCCCCCTACATCATATAGATAATAGAAGGGGAACGATAAAATAGTACTAAGAGAGAGAGACGGAATAAGCAAGTCTACTGACTGCTCCATGCATGATTTATGAGTCAATGTGCCACAAATCTATAATGTTGAGTGCATAAAAAAATCATAACAGGGAGCATGTACATACCCATGAATTAATTCAGCAATTTGGGGTTGCAGCTCTTTATCCCTCAACTTGTGAATCCTGCTCGAAATTGCATCAATTGCTTTAATGCTAACATTGAGCCTAGTTAGTGATCTTCTGATCGCAGCTTGAGTAGCTTCAATCTTACCAGAATCAGCTCCTTTCTCATCTAAACCTTTTAGCCTCTTGCATAGCTTTTCATATGTCACACGCAGTTTTTCTTCTTCCTGATCAAAGCAACCACCTATCAAAACTGAGTAAGATTGAATACCTAGATAACTCTGAGAAAGATTCTTGATTCCGAGTTGACATAATGATTATTAAAAGAATAAGAGAAATGGGAAATTTCAGTTAGGGTTTCAACACGTGCAACATGCAGAAAGCTCGCTTCACACTCTCAGAATTCGAGACAAGTAGCCTGTAGCCAGCTCACAAAAGATTAATTATAATTTGTGAAAACCAAGATACGTTGAGCATTTCTACAATCTACCCATACCCAAAAAAATTCTAAATACATTTAGTCATTTCAGAATCTGCAAATGACATATAGCAAGCTTCTAATATCCTAAAGCATATATGTAGTGGGACTGGGCACAAATAATATTTTTTTTGTTAGACAGAGATCTTTTTTGGAAGCAAGAAGAAAAACTGAGACTATGACAAGTTTCTTTCCTGATAAAGTTCTATCAGTACTTTGGAACTGGTTTATGTATATTTCAAATGCACTGCATTTCATATTTGCTAAATTTTGTATTACATGACACGTTGAAAAAGTTCAAATGATATAAGCAATATTTTAGCATAAAGAAATCAGAAAACCAGTTAAAATGATTCAGCATTTCAAATTCACAATCTATCTTGGGTCTTACAATATATATTTCGTTTTTAGCCACATAAATTTTTTCCTGGGATGGAGATTCAGCTCTAGCTTAAAGACACTACGGATGGATAATTCAAACTAATATTGTGCATAAAAATTGGCAGTCCCAGCTCTTTCAACTGCTTACAGGGTATTTCCCATCTGAAGCACAAGACCGTCAATTCAAGTGCAAAATGAAATGTACAGATGAGAAACCATAAACACCAAAGATTTTTCAACATTATCTATTACATAAGAGTAAATGACAAAAACCAAGAGAAATGAAAAAGGAAGAAGGCGTGTGTAGGCTCTTAAAATATTAAGCAGTATTACCTTTACTTCCTTGTACAGTTTTTCTTCCCATGCATACAGCTTATCCAGTGTGGAGGAAAGGTTACATACTTGGGAGTTCTTGTCCATCTCAACATCCCCGAAATAAGACTTCGCCAACTTCGATGTTTTAGAAGCTAAGTTTATTGAATGCATTGATGGAGGATTTGATGATGGAGCAATTGGGTGCAAAATCCTGGAAAGAATTACTGTAAAAGGATTTGCAAGTTAAAACAAGATCTCAAGGATATGGTAAGAAAATGACTTGTCATTACCTCAGAAAGGAACATCAAATATACCTAGCTATATTCTTAGAATCAAAAGACTCATCAAGGAAACTAAAGGCATGTGATCACAAAAATTAAGAACCAAATAAAATTTATTAAAAGAAAAAATTAATAACAGAGAAAGATCACAGAGCTATAGAAAATGAAAAATGAAGAGGCCAACTTCTAAAGCAAATTAAACTCTAAAGCTATAACAAGCAATATGCACATCCTTTATTAATTGTCAATCATTATTCCATATTTTAAAGGAAAACAAGGCAGGTACTCACATCTATTCTGCAGAGATGTTTTAATAACCTACACCTAACAAGTAACAACTATAATCTGTTTAGCCATACAACTAGATAATACTAAATGTACCAACACACAGAACAATTCGATTAGTCTAAACTCTTCACTGGTAAAAATAACACTAAACTACAGAGCATTCCAAGAAAAATCACACCTTTTAGAAAGCCAGGATGATAAGGCACCTTCCCAACTTCTAGCATCCTTGCAACTTCTTTCCCACAGCTAGAGGCAACCTGGAAGTCATCCCTGATTTCAGCCACAACCTCCCGAATATCTCGAGTATCATGAGGTGACAATGCAGTTAAGCTACTAAACTTGGAGGAATCAGCTTCATATTTTGGTGTCTCATCTACCTCAAAACTCACCCATTTCTTCTTCACAGAACCCTCGTCTACACTCTTTGACACAAGACTTTCTGAACTGCTTTTCTCATCCATCAAACTAATTGACCCGGCATCCTCATTATTGGGCAACGGATTTTCCATAAGCGTCCTCTTAGTATATTCCGATGGCACTGATGGTTTTGCACTTTCCTCACTACTCCATGAAGGCACTGATCTAGAACTATCCTCGCTATTCATATGCAGTGCCCCTGATCTTGAACTGCCCTCACTTTTCTGCATTGGCCCTGATTTTGAACTACCCTCACTATTTTTATGCAGTGGCACTGATCTAGAGCTAGGAACGCTTGGTTTCGAATTCTTTCTCGTTTCTGCACTCACTCTCTTCCCCTTTTGAACCTCTCTATAGACCTCATTTTCTGTTTCTTCCTCCAAATCAGGAATACCCTCCCTCTCTCTCACCTCAATTGAATCCGGGCTGCTAGAAATTGTTCCATACCCATATCCACCAGTTGAATAATAACCCTGGTACCCATCATCATGCCCGTCAAAAAGGTTCAAGAAATCCCACGCCGTGGCCTTGGGCGATGGTTGAGGCGGTGGCTCTTTCGGAGGACTCACTTTCACACCACCATTTCCATAAGGGGCCGCATAGTTCCAATATGAATCCAAGTACCCATTACTCGGCCGCTGGGGGGGTGCCACCTCCTGAATCACTGTTTTCATCTCCGTAGCTGACTTCCTCATGTAATACACATTCGAATTACTGGAAGAATATCCCGGCATTGGCTGTGGCTGTGGCTGTGGCATTCTCGGTGGACCCCATAAGTACTGATCCATCGGTTGTTCCATCGGAAAATAAGAGGAAGAATAAGGCTGCCCATATGAATTAGACAAAGGAGGGTACGAATACCCATTATTCATCATCTCATAACCATATCCGTACCCATACCCATTATATCCACCCAGCGGATTATGAGATGTATCCCCTTGTTCAACATGATGCAAATGATTTTTATCCTCGTCATCCTTGTTTGTATGTGTATGTATAGGATGATGGTGATGATTCCAATCATCTTCCTCATCATCATCATCATCCTCATCCGAATCTGAAAAATGTATATGAGACTCATCATCCTCGTCACCATGGACATGTAAAACAGACCCACCATAAGAACCCGATTTTCCTGGATTATGAGAAGAAGAACCCTCGTGGTTAATTTTCCTGGATTTCTCCAACGGCGGAAGAACTAAGGAAGGCGAAGACAGAGAGGAGGAAGAAGGGGAGACAGTAATTAGATCCTCGTCCACGAATTTCTTGAGAGTATCGCCTACTTCCTTGAGGAACTTGAAGTATGAAACATGGGCCGCAGCCAGGGCAAAGCGGTGGTCGGCGGCGGCTCTAATGAGTTCCCTCCGCTCACGGCAGCGGACCACCAGAGGCAAGTCGTCCGCCTTGGACCCACTACAGCCCATGTCACATAGCAGAATCTAGGGGTAAAATTTTCAGCATGTGCATTGTGAATGTGGGAAAAAATTCAAAAAGGAAAATTCAAAGCAGGTAGATCCTTGAGAAAGAAGAAATCAGAAAATTCTAGAGTGTGAAAATGTGGAGCTGAATTCGGTCACAATGTGATGTAATCATAATGGCGGTGGGGCTGCAAAGAATGCAAGGTACAAGCAATGAGGTACAACATCTGGTTTTAATTTCCAATTTCGGATTCATTTATGGACTTGGTGTGACAGGAAGACTTGGAAATGTAGTATTTGGTTAGAGAAAGCGCGTTAAAGAAAATTCAATCCAAATCTGACCGTAGAAATTGAAAGAAGTGAATCATTGTCGTTGGTCCATTAGGGTTCAAGAAAATCTGTAATTATCCTATTTCTCCATTCTGAATCAGTAGATGAGTATCATGTAAATGTGTGTTTCTTGGGATTTGTTTCTTGTGTGTGTCAGTGTGTGTCAAATAAAGAAGTAAATGTGTTGAAAAGTGTGTGTGGGGTGGGAGTTGGAGAAGAAGAAGAGAAGGGGGATCTTGATCTTGAAGAGGTTTTTCTGTGTTTTGATTTGAATTTTGGGGTTTGGTAGTGAAATTTGATTTTCTTTTTTCTTCTTGTGGGGTTTTAGATGAGCACGTTGAAGGCGAGGGAAGGAGTCGGAGTCGGAGTCGGAGTCGGAGTAGAGGTTGGTGTAGGGCGGAAGGGTATAAGCAAGGGTCGGAGTCGTGGCCTTGTCAGCAATGTCAGATGATGGCAGGGAGAGGGAGAGGGAGAGGTGGAGGCTACCATAATTACGTCTCCTCCTTTTAACATTTTTCTTTACACGTATGAGGAGTGGTTGTGTGAGGATGTTGGGGATTGGTAAGAGCGGAAAAACCCTGTTTGTCGTGTTGGGGTTTGGTATTATAAGAGCGGGAAAACCTGTTTGAGCCTGGCCCTCCAGCAAGCCTCTGTAAGAGCATCTTCAATATTATGTATTAATAATATAGATAAACAAAATGGTCAGACCAAATCAAAATCGAATTAAATTGAACTATTCGATTACATTCTACAAAAAAATTAAAGACTTTGGTTCTTAGAATCAACAATCATTTGGTTATGGTTCCAATTCTAGAATCAAAATCAAGAATCGAATGCAATTTTTATTAATTTTATTTTATACATATATGTAAAAATGTCCTCTTGTCATTGGTGAAAAATCTCATCTTATTCATTTGGAGAGAATCATACTTACGGTTCACATATTTGGAGATAACCGTAAGTAAGATTCTCCCACCACATCAAGAAGTGGATAATCTTATCTTACCCACTGTGAACAAGAGAACAATTTCGTGTATATATACATATCTCTTACAATTACAATTCAGTGAATAATACAAAAAATTAAAAAATCAAATATTGTTAGTGACTCAATTAGTAAATCATTGTTATTAAACAACATTTTGTATGGGCGATGAAACTTGATGTTTGTATTAAAATTATGACTATATTTGTTTGTTAGTTAGGACTTTGGTGAATAAATTTTATTACACAATATTTCATTTGATAATTGATAATTTGAAATTTAATTTACTTAATATTTGATGTTTATATATTTTTATTTAGGGGTATATAACTAATTTATGGATATGTGATAGATTTTAATTTGCATTTATCATTTGAAAAGTTAAATAATGGAATTAGAATCAAACCAAACTAAGCCAAAACCGAATTGTTTTTATTTCGATTTGATTTTATATCTTCAAAAAAATTATTGGTTCCATTTTCCAAAAAAAAAAAAAAATTGTTCATTCATGGTTCAGTTCAATTCTCTTGAAACCAAAACTAAATGAAACTATGTCCACTCCTAAATAGATGATAAAATTAGGTATAAACTGCTATTTTAAAAGTCATTTTTGCATGTTTACTTATATCCAATGAATCTAAATTCAAATTTTGCTCTAATGAGAATATCTAAGTCGATTTTTCTGTCTCTGGTGGATGTAAAAAATGTAAATTCACATCTTTCTTACATTTTTTGTCGAAAATTGCAATTTGCATTTTCTTTGAATATCTCTATTGGAAAATTTTCAACTATTTTGGAGATCTAAATCTCGATTTAAAAATACTGTACGCCACAATAGGAGATATGTAAATGTAAATTTTTTTAAAATTTTTAACAAAGCATCATCGAAATCTCATTATGTTTTTTATACTCCATCAAAACAAGATAAAAGAGGGTTGGAATTCTCCTACCACGTGAATTTTGAATTTTCGAAATGTGCTATTTCTATAGAAATATTAAGGGCGTGGCTGATGTATATTTCTTGAAAATAGATTTTGTAAAAAGCGATATTTTTGAAGAATATAGGGAGAAAAATTATGAAATAATTATGGATTCACGTGCAAAAAAACTTCATTTAGAGATTGTGGATTTAAAATTGAGTTTCAAATAATATGTACCGATGTAAGTAAATTGAATTCGATCCTTTTGAATTAAGTTATTTTATGAAAAACAAATTATGGAAATATTCTAAAGTAATTAATATTTTTACGAGATACTTGTAATTAGAATTTTAGCAGATTGATGCACCAATACGTTGGTTCTTTCTTGTTCACGGTTTGATTTTGTATTATTTTGCATATTTTCATTAAATAAATAAATAAATAAATAAGGTTCGAATAGTTTTTAACTTATTAACTCGTCTTTTTATAAATTTTGACATTTTACTTTAACGTATTTAAATTTCATGATCAAAAGTTTAATATTATTTTAATTAAATGATTTGATTTTAATCATTATCCCCTAGGGTGAAAACTGTTAGACTAAGACACTACTCAATCAATTTCTAAGTCACTTATTTAAGTCAATATATTTTAATTTTTCACTCCTTTTCAGAAAGGAAAATAATTATGTTCATAAATACTTTTATGGGAAAGGGCCCTTGTATAGGACACTATATCCAGGGGCCCTGTGACTTTTATAAATCAGATATTGGGTTAATTCCGACCAACAAACTTTGTTTAAACATCATTTGTGGGCCACTAATTTTTAGCAATCACTCATGCTACATGTATAATTGGGATTGTCAACCTCGAATAACAATCACACATATGAGAAGAGAGCTCACGATGTATAAAAAGATCGTGAATCCTCCCTTCTGTGATGGGATTGTCAACCCTGATTATACAACTAACAAAATTCTTTAGCAATAGAGAAGTATCAGTTTTAGGTTGTCCACTTCATATAGACTTTGTTCTCCAAGCGATTGACTTTTTTTTTTTTCTCTTTTTGAATTTTTAGGATGCCAAAAATGTGCTTTTTGAATTTAGATTATTTCGGTTGTCAAAAACGTGTTTTTTGAATTTATGCCCAATAGCATTTTCTTTGTAATTTAACCTTTTAGAATTTATTCGCATTTTTTTAATTAGTTCAAATGCATATTGAGGAGCATTGGGCATACTTTAAAAGATACGCAAGTTTGAGAAAAAATGATAGACAATAAAATCTCAATAAATGAATATTTGATAAATGAATAATTTCGCTTAAATAATAAAAATAGTCGGTTACGACTTGAACTAGTGTAAAATAATAACTCCACTAAATGTATAAGATAATAATTTTTTTAAAATCCTTTAAAGCCCAACGAATATATAAAATAATAATTATCTAAATTCATAAAAGTGCATACTAGTACGAATTAACAAGCGTTTATTTTGACAACATTCTTTTAATACGCCTCTTTTAATTTAACAAACTTTTAATTTCACTTTAAAAATTATGATCCATGTGTACATAAATAACTTGAACGATTAATTTTTTAAAAATTTAAACTTTAAAATCAATGCATATACAATAATGTTTCCTCTTTAACGTATATATGAGTACGCCTTTTTGTGCGCCTACCTATTAAATTTTGAATTTCACCACATTTAATTTTTTTTATTTCCTACATGTATTTTCTTAAAAAATAATACAAGTTATAAAAATATAAAATACTCCATAAATTAATAAATATTCATTTGTCAATAAATTAATAAATTATACATTTTCCGATGAATTAATAACTCCTCTAATTTTTATTTTTTTTTTTGGGTCCCAACATTATTATTTTATCAAGGTTTATTGGATAGAGATGCTAATATATTATAAAATGTATTGATTGTGAATATGGAAGGTTTGATTCAAACCGACAATTGAATTATGAATTATACATTATGGATAATCATATGAAATGTTCAAATCTTGAATTGGTTGAACTTCTTGATAAGTTAGAACCTACGGTAAATAAATAAGAGAACATACATTTGTAATGTGAAATCGCACAAACATCATCTCAAGTGTTTTTCAATATGGTTTAAATTTGATATTAATAATTCGCTGAAGTGTTAACTAAATTATTATTGTGCTGTAATTAATTAGATGTCGAGAAAAATGGAATCCAATATGATAGTTGGGATTGGGAGGGCAAAATGGTCATTTTCCATTACTCTTATTATATATGTCATGAGGCATCATGGCATGTTGAATCAAACGATTGGAGGACTTGATTGTCACACTTATAAATGTTGGAGCTTCGATTGCTGTACTTATAAATGCAAAGTGTAATTTAAAGGTTTTAGAACATCTCCAATAATATTGTGAAAAAAGGTGATGGCGTATCACCCAATATGGATATTGTTCATAAAATTTCTTCTTTAATGCATGATGAGATGGAAAATGCCAAACAGAATTATAAGGAGTAATATTATTTAACACTACTATTATTTAGTACCAGTTTAGGTGAAAGCATTGGTGATATTAAATTTTACGTTCAATTAAATACAATGAAATATGATTTATTTAATAGGACGTATGACTAGTGTTCAATATCATTGGTGTCAAATAATGTTATCAATTAAAATATACGAAGTCAATATAATTACCTATACTTAAAAGCGGGTGACTTGTCGATTGATGAGAGAAAGTATGGAAGGGAAAAAGCAATTGGAAAGAGAAAGCAAAAGGTTCTCTCTCCAATCATATTTTTTGTAACTAAAATAACTATAGAGTGTTTGAGAGCCATTTTTATTTAAAAATGTATTTTTGAAATAGTAAATTAATGGGAAATATGTGATAGAAAAATAAGAAAAAGTTTTTGATTTACGCGTAATATTTTTTAATGAAGAATGTGTGATTGAAAAGAAGAGAAAGAAAAATGCATTTTTAAAAAAATGGGTACCAAACGGGCTGAATCTGTAACTTCATTTGGTCAACTTTGTTCCATTTTCTGTCAAAAATAATATTACGTTTTTAGCCTTATTAATTTAATTTTCTAAACTTAACATAGTTTGAGGGTTAAGAGTTTAGAAAATAGAAGTTAAAAAGGTAAAATGCTACAAAATTAGCTATATAATATTTAAAGAATTTTTATTTAACTTTATGAAATTGCTCCAAAACATGCATGGGAAATGCTACATGAATTGTCTACATAATGATATCCATAATTACACGTGACACTGGATCCAACTTTTAATTCAAATCTCACACTTGCATATCAACAATCGGATGATTATTACATCACATTATGGACACCATTATGTGCAATAATTATGTACAAGTAGAATTTTCCAACATGCATTTATGTTTATGTGTTATTTATTTGTACATGTAGTTACAGAACATATAATATAACATTTTCAAAAAATTAAGTCATATTTTAATTATTTTCAAATATAACGACAATATTTAGATTTTTATTACTCAACTAAAACTAATTATATCAAAAGTTTGGGTTGTAAAGAGTGTAAAGACCTCATACATGATCGTGATAAAGAAC